CTATATCTGATGATTTTCATTTTTAATCCCTACAAAATTCAGCCCTGTAACTCTTTAGCCAATGACATACAGGTAATCCTCAAGTTACGACCACAATTGATCCCAAAATTTAGGTTGCCGTGAAACATTTCTTATGTAAGTTTGCCCCATTTTACAACTTTTCTTACCACAGTTGTTAAGTGAATCATTGCATTTGTTAAGTTAGTAACATGGTTGTTAAGTGAATCTGGCTTCCCCATTGATTCTGCTTGTCAGAAAACTGCAAAAACTGATCATATGACTCTGAGACACTGCTACTGTCATAAATATGAACCAGTTGCTAAGCCTCTGAATTTTGATCACACGTCCATGGGGATGCTGCAATGGTCGTAAGAGTGAAAAATGGTCATAACTCTCTTTCTTCAACATTGTTGTAATTTCGAACAGTCACTAAACAAACTATTGTAAGAGGAGGACTATCTGTATTTGCTAACTCATATTAAGTGCATCCTACATTGTGCTAGCTGTTAGCTATCCAGATGAATGAGGACCATTGAAGTCAATTGTGCTCTGGCACAGCAAGTCATCCACCTGCAGAATTATTCTTTCTCTTCCTGTATTATGAAAGATGAATAAGAATAAACCTCCAGGATCTTGAACTTCTTTGGATTTTTACAATCCATTCCAATCAGTTGTTGCTACTCTTGCATTATATGCATCTCTACCTGGACTAGCAGGAAGGAGAATAGGACATGTTATTTTTGAACCTTTTGCAGGAGAAAAGATATGTATCATCTGTTCTTCAGGGATATCATATCCTGTATCCTATTCACCTACGTGCTTTTTCCTGTTCAATTTTTTTCTCACCTGAAGGATCAGTACTGGGATCTTTTTCAAAAGCTTAAAAAGGTTCCTCTGAGTTTCAGCAGTGCAAAGTATCTTCTTAATCTCTTGTTTCTGATTATCAATCTTGTCACCAGCCTTCCTTTTTTTTTAATGACAAATTTCATTCCTGAGTAGCTTCCTTTATCATTTCCTATAGATCCTCCTTCATTCATCTTTGCTTTCTGTTATGAGTGTAAATTTGGATACATGCTGTTTTAATTCTCATATTTTTCCTTCAAGCATTGCTATGAATATAGTTTAGATTATTTTCAAGCAGAATATAATAGCACTACACATCAGAATTACATAACTCATTCGTTTTACCTTTATTTCTCTTTCTTTGAGTATTTTCAAAAGAGAAACTTTTAGTTTTGCTCTCAGGTTATCCAAGTTATCTTTTTAAGGGCATGCACATACAACTATAAGGAGCTTTTCCCATAAATAAAAATAAACAAATACAATTTATAAAGTTGAAATGCAATATTTAATTGTTCTAAATTATTAAGATTTTTAAAGGCTTGGCTGCTATGATGTAGACATGAGTAAACAAGAGGAGAGAGAAGAGGGTGAAGCCCAGCTATGGTCCCTGAGTACAGCTGTACTGTCACAACAATTTATGAACTGATCTGATTGCTAGCCAGGATTATTATGGGGCAGATGGAGACAGCATTCTCTTTGGTCATGCCCCCAAATACAGCATAGTGTTGGGGAATAAAGCCCTGGAGGGGAGCCCACTATTTTTATTGTTGAGGAATATGCTGTTGGTCTGACCTGCAAAGGAAAGAAAGAGAAATATACATCACCCCTTTCAGCAACTATTGCAAATTGTTGATAAGATTGTGTTAGACATTTTGACTGGAAAGAAACCTCATAGTAGGTGTGTGGGAGAGTTTACTTCTGCAGTTTTGATTCCCTGGCCCTGGAAAGGAGAAAAGAATGAGGAAGTCAATATAAGGCTTCCATTGGCAGAAAAGAAGTGAAATCCCAGATAGAAGAATGGCCAAGACCCAGGGCAGACGGGAAAGGAAAGAGATGGCCGAGAGGGTCAGCAGAAGGCTTAGAGGGAGGTACATCACACAATATCTATGCAAAGTTGGCTGATGAGATCCAAGAAGGCAAGATTCGTGGAGCATACAGTATTCTGCAGTGATTCCCTTCCTAACAGGGACACATGGAAAGCAGTGGAAGAAGGAGGAAAAGCGGGGAATTGGAAGGAGCAAAAGAAAGGGTGGTTATTAGTGAATAGTACTGAGAAAGAAGTTTGTAAATAGAAGTTCTTACTCTCTGCAAATCATTGCATATAGTAAAAGAGCCATAAAAGCTTGCATGGTCTCTGTCAATATGTTGCAATGTTCTCTTCAACACTAAGTGCCCACCCAATTTTCAAAGAACCCATGGTCACACTTTGATACTGAAAGCTTAATGGCTTAGCAAAATTCAGTATTGATTTAATATGCCATATAATTTTAGATATGCATGGTCACATCACTGAAGGGCTATAAGACATTTTACTTTTATTCTGTTTTGATGACTTTATATACAAGTCATAAAGTCACTTTACTATCATTAGTTTGGGTATAGAATGCTTGAAAAGCAATTCCAATCTTTGCTCATGAGGTCATTAGACTGTTGTTAAATCCAGAGACTGATAATAAATTACTCTAAATATTTTTCTAAACCACCAAGCAGGGTTTTGATTCTGTTAGGTCTATGCCTCCTCACTGAAGTTGCACAGTTGAAATTGCAGTTTTACTGTTAAAATTAAGATGAAACTTCATTGCTTATCATGCAAGATTAGAAAATTCCTTATTAGCAATGAAGCTTACCAGGCAACTCTGAAGATAAATAGCTGATAAATAGTCATATATACCTACCAACTTTCTTGGAGTTTTGGGAATGTGTGAATTAGCCAAGTACTAGTTTAAACAGACAGAAAATACTGTTAACTTTATGGTTATCATTCTACCATACTTCTGAGTTACCAAGAACTTCCATGCCCTTAGTAATTCCAGGAGACAAAATGGCAACAGAGATGCTTAGAGTCTGCCTGAAGGAAACCAAAAAATGAACATGGTAAAGAACAGGCAAGAGCTTTACATAAGAATTTAATAAGGATTACCTCGTGGTGATAAGAACAATAATTTTTCCATTCATATTGTGTATGTTTATGTATATATGCATGCTACTATGAATACAATATTAGGCATGTGGTGGACAAAATTGTTTAGATCCACTTGGAGTTGGACTCTCACTGGGCAAGTCCTTTGAAGCTGACTGAAGAATGGTTTAGCATAGTTATGGAGAAGAGTTTAAGCTCATGGGTCCCAAAGAAATGGCAGAGTCCTCAATGATGGTGGTACAAGTACCTGAATATTAGATTAATGTCACTTATGATTGGTTAAGATCTTTCAGGAGATGACATGTAGTTAGATGAATGCAGCCTTGTGCGGGAGGAGGATGGGGTTTTCCAGCTTATAAAGAGATGTTTGTTTGTCCTTTGTTAAAGAAGCTTGTCCCTGGATCTGTTAGCATTATACAATTTTCACTGAATTTCCAATTCCTTTTTAGAAGTTGAAAATTGATTGAGAAGTTGGTTGCTTTAAAATGCCTGAAAAAACAGATTATCTGGATCCTTTTCAGATGTTAGACTGGAGTACAGCATCAAGAAGATATTGATATATGTGTAGATTACCTTTGATGGAACTGGCCATCCATCCTAGCTCTCCTTGATATCTCCAGTGTCCTTCTGTATTGGTTCAGCAAGTAAGGAGGGGAGACATTGTGTTCTAGTGATTTTCCTCCTACCTTTGGAGCCAACTTTGGTTGGTGTTTGAATGGAAAGAAAGCTAGCCTTAGACCCCTCCCTGTAGGGTTCCTCAAGGTTCTATATTTTCCTGCTTGTGTTTAACATCTACTGCTGAATGTTATAATTTGCTGACATGGAGTGAATATCGTCGATATGTGGACTCTCCAACTCCGTTAATTGCCAGACAGTGTGTTGTAGTTGAACATTATAGGAGTTGATGGAGACAATTTTGTGTAGCAGTTATAACCTCAGGCTAGTAATTAGGAAATCATGAGTTGTAGTCCTGCCATAGGCACAAACCTAGCTGGATGTCCTCGGACCAGTCACTTTTTCTCGGACCTAGGAAGGACACACAGCACTTCTGAAATCTTGCCAAGAAAACTGAAGAGATCTATCCAGGCAGTTACCAGACATAAAAAAAAAAGCATTACTCATAGGAACTCACTTCTCCCCAAACTAGAAAGTGAAGTCTACAGAGCTGAAAAGCAACCAGGCAGGGGATTATTTTTCTGGGAGACTGCTCATCATTATAGGTAGGAATATGGCAGGAAGTAATAATATAATAATTGGATCTATTGGATTTTATTGGCTATATTATTAGTGCCAGTTGAAGGTATAATGCTCTTTCCGCCCAGTCAATAGCATATTGTTTTTATTATGGTTGGGTGCATAGTCAAACAGATGTTTAGATTGATTTGGCATTTTAATCCAACTATCAATTTCTTTCCCAATGGATCTAGGATATGTAGATGTTGTTGTTTCATGATGTTAAATGTATCATCACAGAATGTAAGCTGTTCTTTTGCAATTCTCTGATCATGATTTTGTTAACGTTGACGCTACAGGTTCCTTTACTATTGGTGCTACTTTTTATTTGAAGTCTTTGTATTTTATGATTTTTTCCAATTTGTTTTTTTCTATTCTGTTGTCACCAGGTATTATTGTTCTTGTTTTTGTTGTTGTTATGTTGTTGTTAAAAAGAAATAGCATTAATAACCAACATTACAGTTTGGATAAATAAAATGCATTTCAGTCCTATGAATTAAAATAAAAGTATCTTTATCCCATTGTTTCATATGATATTTTTAAAATGCATTACCAACACTCTTTATACCATTAAGTTTCTTTTATTGAAAAACATTATTGCATAAAACTACATTCCAAGGAAAACTTGAATTAACTAAAAAAGCTGCATATCATGTTCAATAGTGCAATTCACATAGCTACTATATAATATAAAACAGTATACAGAGAATAAAAAACATAATAATTATATATAATATTAACCAGAAAGCTGGTTTTGAAAGAAATGAAATACTTGAAAAATGAATCAAATGGCATATTTATGATTTTTTTATTTTTTTAAAGTTTTTTTCAAACCTACATAACAAATAGCTGTATTTAGAAGTTTACATATATAGTTTAATTATCAGGAAAACCATTATACTTCATTAGTTTGCTTCATCTAATCACTTTTATGTCACTACAAAGCAATTATTTTCTACCCTCTTATGGTGAGATCAGCATGAGATTGCATTTTGCACTGGGATCTAGATTTTCAGTGTGTGCAAAACACAAGCTAACTTGAATAGCTGAATGTACATTCAATTTTCTAATTGTTAAATTAGATCATGACAGGAAAAGGGAGATATATGGAGTGGCAAGTGGCTTGTTTTAAATTTCAGTCACTTTATTTCAGTCACAATTTCCCATTTTTAAGTTTGACAATAGTAACTTCAATGGATATTCTAAGTAAAGGAAATTATAAAATATAAAGGACTAAATTTTGTATTTTAAAGCATATACCAGCCTTTGATCTGTTTAAAAATCTGCATGGCTTAATTTTGGATCTTACCAATACTGAAAAGTACTTTGTGGTTGAACAAAACTATGAAGTATTTTCATTTTCCCTTTCTAGTTTATCAGGGTAATTTCTAACAGCTGTCCATAGCAACATCCTGAACCACATAATTTAAAAATTGATTCAGTTAAATTAATAATCTCAAAGATATATATTCATATTTGCAGCCTAAAAGAAATGCAAATGTATTAAAATAATGGATGTAATTATTTATATATATTATGGTTTAATGGATTTTTAGTAGGTACAAGTCTCACAAAATTTGATCCATATAATCTTTGTTTAAAGCATGAATTAGAAACTAGGAATGGAGGGAGAGATCCCAACACAGTTTGGAAAATGTAGTTTAGTTGAAGAATCTGTGCATACATTTGTAATCTTAATGTACAAGTACATTTGTAATGTAATTATATTCACAGGCTGCTTATTTGATTTAGTGATTATGAATCTTTATGGACAAGAAAAAGCTGTATTTTGCTCTTAGAATACAAGGCCACAAGTATAGAGCATTCCTGGAAGCACCTTAGTAATCTTTCTGGCCTTAGAAGCTAAACAGAAATGTTCAGCAGCAAAGCTCTGCTCCTTTTAGATGTATGTCATGATCATAGAAAAAGGGGCAGGACATGCATTGAAGCAATGCTATTTGTGTCACTGTAACCTCTGCTTGTCCTTCACAGTTGCTACTTGCTTGTTTAGTGGTTGGATGATAGACGTGTATGAATGTCACAACTGTAAGTTAAAAGAACATCCTGGAGAAAGGCAATGGGAAACTGCTTTTATATTTGTGTCAAACAAATCTGATAATTACGATATGTCCATGTAATCATTAGAAGTGAAGTTTGCCTTGGGGGTATCTTTATTTATTTATTTTTAAATACAAGCATGTGGCAGAGCCATTTTTAGACTGTGAATCATACATATTCTTCCTCCTCCTCCTCTCATGATTATTATTTGGTTCTCTAAGCAGTGATGATGCAAGAGCATGGATGCAATCTTTTCCCTGAGGGAGAGGGGCCAAAGTTTTCAGCCTGTGTTTCTGGGGAGAGTTGGGGACATATTTCATTTTTATTGCATTTTTTAAAGAACAAGAAAAAATTGCATTGCTTAAAATCTGTTATGTGCTGCCAAACTTCATTAGCATGATGATGGGAGAATTGGGAGTTTATGTACTCCAAAAGCTTTCCAAGGTTAACCATTCTTCCATGCATCCTTTTTTGAAAATACATATAGATTTTGTTTAAAGAAAATACCTACTATAGTGCAAATACCATGCTAAACCTTAAAGGGAGTTGTCAGACAATATCTCCTAATCAGGCACCTTCCAAATAGTTTGGGAATTTTAGAAGTTGCAGTCAAATTACATCTGGACTGTGCCAAATTGCAAAGGACTGCAGTAAGAAGTAGACATGGCTTTGTGACAAATAACTCTCTTCTCAACAGTTTAATGATTAAATTTATGTGCTGTGTCAGCCCAGCTTTGATTTTGCTCAACATTCTTGATATATTTGGAGTATATAAACCATGACTTCTCAAACGGAAAACAATTACATTACTAAATGGGACTTTCCATTGTAAATTGCTTTTTAAAATGTAGGACAGTGACCTTGCTATTTATTTTTCAACTTACTTTTTTTTCTCAGTTCAGAGAACCAATGTACATACCATGTTCAAGAATAAGGTGGAAGTTTCTGCCCCTGAAAAAATGGATGAATCAAAGGATTGAAATGCATTGTGGAGGATGCAGTTGCACTCAGCGGTGGAGTGAACCAAGTAGGAATAAAGGCAGTGGGAGGCAGGGATGGGATTGCCAGTTGGGTAACAGGGTGAATAGGAGTGGCTGATACCAAATGGAAGGGATGACCAGACACTAGCGCTGTGTGAGTTGGCAGGAAGGTTGAAGCAAATGGCGAAATTGACATGGGTGCAAGATGAGCATGTGAGAAAGGATGTAAATGGGTTAGGGAAAGATTGCTGCTATGTGGATGAGCCCCAGTGGACAAAGCTAAGCGTTGCAGAAAGGTTTGGTGGAGGGTAGCAACCGAAGTGTGCTGCTGGACTGGAACAGACTGAACTGCTGGGGATGCAGACAAAGTGGCTGGTCCAGTAGTAGACAGAACCTTGAGATGCTTTGCTACAAATTGTTTCTGCATGTGCTGCTGGGCCTGTAGCTGTAGAAACCTGTATTTGTCTATTTCATCAGGGGAAAATATTATAGGATGTTGTGATAAAGGAGGGGAGATACACTTACTATAAAGATCAGTCTTATATTCTGTTTCATTGGATTTATGCATAGCATTGTCAGGGTAATAGTTTAGATTCTCTTCTGCTTGAAGCACGTCCATACTTGTATTGTATTCTTCTTTGGTGTCGATAAAATTTGGAGCAAGAGAATATCTATGAGAAAGAAAAGGACCAGGAAAATCACCTGTCACTGGATCACAGCTTTGTAGAAGAGGTTGTGTTTCATCAGTTAAGAGATCTGTCTTCTCCTTTATTGTTGTGCTTGCTTCCATATTTAGGGTTTGGCAGGTGGTTCCTCTTTGAATTAAGTCTTGGAGCAGGCAATTACTATAGCTAGTATTGCCCATAATATTATCTAGGGTCAAATGTTTGTTTATGTGGTTTTCCATTTCACCAGTTTCATGATTCCACACACAGTTCATGTCAACACTGTGCGTGTTCTCCTGTGAAGGCAGTATTGTTTCACTCTCCATGGAAGATGTATCAGGCAGATTAGAGGGGACATCTATCCTGCAAGCTTTTGAAAAGCTGCTGGTGCTCTCAATTTGCTCCTGGTTTCTTTTGGATTTTACCTTTTGTAAAAGTAACTTGGCGGTTAATGACTTCTGTCTTGCTGCTTCCTTTTCCAACCAGTCATCAGAGCAAATCCCATGCTTATGCTTAGAGGCACAGTTCACATTCTGGTTCTCTGAATGGGTAGAGCAGGATTCTTTTTCTTCATTGCTTCTCATAGTCTTTTTGTCTTCATTCCAGATATGCACTGATTCCTTCATGAAGGATCCTGAACTGCTACCTCTAGATTGAGTGGAAGTTGATCTTTCACTGCTTCCTGAATCATAGATGCAAGGACCTTGGGAACTGGCATATTTCCTGCTCCTGCTGTGTTTACAGACAGGATATCTATTTCTACTTTGCTTCGCTCTTTCTCTTTGTAGCAAGTGCCCATATCTCAAATATCTTTGATATTTTATTGGATGCTTCTGAGTACAATCTGCAGATCGCTGGCTTTTTTTGTTGTTAAAGCAGTCTATATCTGCTTCATCAGAAGATGAAAGGCAGTTGTGCTTTTTGTGTTTACACTTCTGTCTTCCAGTTGACTTTTGTTTCCTTTTGCAACAAAAAGATAAATTACTTCTACTATGATTGCTTGATCTATGGTTACAGTAGCAACTTGTGTTGCTAGTTTCACTATCGATGGAGATGTCGGAATAATTAGACTGTCTGTCAGACGAGGGTTTTTGCAAAGGGCAGAATTTCCAAAAATCATTAGCAAAACTCACATTGCTTTCCTTTTCCAAGCACTCACCAGGGCAGTCTAACTTACAACCAAGAGGTGTATCTTTTCCATTTTCATTTATGTTACTTGTACAAGTGACCAAATCCAGATTTGTTTGCTCCTGGGAATACATTAAATCACATTTTCCACATTTTTGCTTTTTTGTCCTAGATGCCAAAGGATAAATGCAAACATTTTCACCAACTTCATCCTGTGCTGTTGTTTCACAGTTATGAAAGTGTTGTGCCAAAGATCTCATGCACATTTCTGTATGGTGACTTGTTGCTATTGTACAATGCCTTTGTGAACAATTAAGGTAAGCAGGCACATTAGGTATATTTTCATTCACATCATCCGAAATGTACTTTGGAGCATTACAATTAATTTTGTTTTCTTTCTCTTTATATAATTTTAGCTGGCACTTTTTGAGATATAGAGCACTGTTCTTCTTTGGCTTTAAAAAGTTATCTTTTTTAGTGGACAATTGCTTCTTCTTGGATAGATCCAAGGCATGATTTTTATCTATATCCATAGTTCTTGAATACTCTTGAGAAGTTTCTGGATTGACTTCATGCTGCCCATTGTCTTTATGGTATAAGGGAAGTCTGAAGTCAAAATATAATGGATTGCAGCCATAAGAAATGGAAGGTTCTGTTTTTGTAAACAAAAGAAGTTCTATGGGCCAATGGAAGGCTGTGCTGCCATCTTTACTCAGTACATGAAGAAAAGGAAATGTTTTAGGCTTAATTTCATGAACCAAATCATCTTTTTTTGATGTTTTGTTATCCGTAGCCATAGTTTTTGAAGAATCAGAAGAGTGTTTGAATATACAGGGATTAAAGTGTATTGCACATGAATGCCCTCCTTCAGATGACTCTTGGCCTGGGAATTCAGAGTCACATTCTGTTAGCAAGATATTGCTGTGCCGGTAAGCTTGTTGCTGTATACAAGCACTGGTAGGTTGGCACTGAGATGTGATGAAACCTTGTATAGATTTCCGAGTCTTCAGCAGCTGTCTTGATTTTATATCAGGAGAGCTGATACATTCCAAATCTAGAGAATGCTGTTTCTCCTTACAAAATGGAAGATGAGTTTCCACTGATTCTTTGCTGCTGTTTTGGTTATTTTCTTTATGTGGTTTATTTCTTCCAGCCAGATTATATACTTCAATGCTGTCTTGGTGGCTCTGAAGTGTGCTTAATGGTTTTTGTACATTAGTTTTCCTCTTGCTATTCCTATGGATGCAAGTGTAACATTCCTCAGCAGCTTGTTTCACTTTTTGCTTTGGTGACTCCATGTGGTCATGTGCTTCTTCCACATTCTCACTGAACACAGATGCTGATGACTCAAGCTTCAAGTGGACTTTTTTAGAGAAGGAAAAGGACACCCCTGTTCTGTTACAAGCATTAGTGCTGCAGGGGAATTCTGGAGACATATGATTTTTAAGCAAATGGTGTCTCTCTATGCATGATTGATCCTTGTTTAACAAAGGCTCCTGTAGTTTTTCGGACTGGTGGCTGGTGGAGCTTTTCCTTTCATCTGCAATCTTGGCTTTCTCTGCTTGAGCTAAGAGAAAAGTGTCTTGTGCTTGTTGCTGTGGTTGTTCTACAACTACCTGGGGACTTTTAAACATGGGTCTGCATCCGGCAACACTAGAAATAAATAATATAATGAAAACAACTTAAGTTAAAATGAATTTAATTTTTAGCATACCCTGTTAGAAAGTGTTACCCTGGGCAATTAGGATGGTGAAAAGGAATTCATCACCATCGGGACCCAATATGACATTGAAAAGAATGTATAACATGCTGAACTGATCACATTCAACATAAACATGGTGTCCTTGGTCTCATTCCATGTGAGGTAGTTAATGAATACAGTATGCTGTAAAGGCTCACTGAAGCCTGAATTAATGTGGTAGATAGGATGTGGAGCCCAATGAGTTGAACAACAGGCATGCATAAGTTTAGTAAAAATGTGATCAGAAAATAAATGTGCAAATCTATGAAAATCCACATACTTTACTATCCTCGCTGCTTTTACTGACAAAGGTTTGCTTTTTATTACAATATTATGAACAGCTTCATCCATATCTTTAATACTAGCAAACTAAGAGGCCAAATACTTGTAGAAATTTTGCATATGGAAGAAGCTTTGGATCATATTTTTATTATGTTTCTATTTCAACACTTAACAATCAGCATTGATTTACTGGTTGTTTTTTTTTTACACATATGACCTCTTGGAAGACCCTTTACAGTCTTCAGTTAATTTTTTCATGACTTGAAAATATAACCACAGTTTATTAATGCAGATATGTTTTCCCAATATGGTATCCTTTACATGTGTGAAACTATACACTCTGTCTTCTGTTGATCTCATCCCAGATATATTGGCTATGCTGTTGGGAATCATACTAAAGGACATTTGGAAAACATTAGTTTTGGAAAACAGTAAGATGGCCAATTAATTGTTTTGATAAATTTTTCTAAGTAAATAATATATCATCCCATTGCTGAAACAGTATATTCAGTATTTCTTACCAAGCTGAGTTACTTGTATGGGCAGTGAAAATAGCACTAGCAGCAATAGCACTTAGACTTATATACTGCTTCACAGTGCTTCAAAGTCCTCTCTAAATGGTTTACAGAGTCAGCATATTGTTTCCAACAATCTGGGCCCTCATTTTACCGACCTCAGAAGGATAGAAGGCTGAGTCAACCTTGAGCCAGTGAGAATCAAACTGCTGGTAAACAGCAGAATTATCCTGCAATACTGCATTCTAATTTCTCTGCCACCACAGTTCAGTGAAATGAAATACTTTGGCCATGTATTATGATAAAGAGTAGAGCATGAGGAGAAGAAGATAAGATGTTGTCTTCCCAATATATTCCTTTCTTCCTCTACATTTTCAGTGAAAATGATTCAGTTTGATTCTTCAACAATCAGATTTTTTTAAAATTTCAAAATCTTTCTGTCCCTTTGAATAAATTTGTAAAAAATGATAAGATTTTAACAAACAAAATTCCACTAATCCTCAGGATTAATGGTTCAAATCATATGCATTCAGTATGAATGGGACCATGTTATTGCCATTTGCCACTTGTAGCTATTAAAGATTCCTAGACTGTAAAAATCCATATTATGAATCTAGGACCACAAATATGATAAGTGCCAAGATAATGCAAGAGTGAAACATTCAAACCCTCTGCCTCTTTGGAAGAATATATCAACTCTTTAATTTTATCCACAATTTGAAATAGTTAATATTTTCCTTTCCATCTCATTTAGGAAGATGTCTGAATACAAACTGAATTAAATGATTACCCATCCCAAACAATGGGATATCTGGTCACTGTGACCATCACTTGGGAAAATCTGATTAGCTATTTGAGCATCACCAAGGAGATAATCCTTGTCTGGATAAGAAAACAAGAAGGATTTTTTTTTAAAAAAAATAAAATCAAAACATTTATTGGGAGGGGCAGCAAGCAGGGACAGGAAGAGTAAAACATTGGTATCTTTGCATCTCTTTGACCTTGGTGGTTTTCTTACAAATGTTTTATTACCAAACTGATGTTGTTATCTAGTTTGGTAATGAAACATCAGCAAATAAACCAGAAGCTCAGAAAGTTTCAAGGATACCACAGCTACAAATATTTTTTTCTAAGAGCAAAACAATTTATTGTGGGAGAGGGAATATTTAGCCAGACTTATTTATGGCATTGAAAATGTTTATTCCAAAAAATTCATCACAGGACTATTAAACTCATTTCATAGAGATTAGAAAGAGGGTAAAAAGTCCAACATTCAAATGCCAAAGAATTATTGCAGGGCTTCCAATTTTATTGTTTGTACAATAAGGATGTTGGCATGAAGGATGAAGAAAATTCTTTGTGTTATATAAAGTAGAAGTAAAGCCATGGAGATTTCTCCTGGGACTATCAGGGAAAAAAGAGACAAGATTAAAATGTAATATTAGTTCCAAAGACGCACCATTCTGACTGCTTCCGCAACTCAGCCAGCTGATGAAGTCGTCTGAGAGCTTTCTCCTGTTTCTTTTCATCTTTCCAGGATTTTGAAGCCACATTTCGTGCAAATTCCCTTTGTTTCAGCTCTTTCAATCTCTATGTGAGGAGAAAAAGGGATAAAAAGATGGTGCATTTCTTAGCATGTCTATGCAGTTCCAAGCACTCATAAATTCAATCTGGCAATATATAAGATACAAAGCTAATTCTATGCAAGTATAACTTAATAAATAAATTAGAACTTTAACAGGTTTTTTTGGGAGGGGGGGGAGAATTTATCCTGACCTTAAATTGTTTTTCTAACTATACTATGTAGAGCAGCATTTCTTAGCAATTTTAAGACATGTGGACTTAAATTTCCAGAATTCTGGGAGTTGAAATCAACATGTCTTACAGATGCCAAGGTCAAGAAAAATTAAGAAGATTACCAGGAACTCTGAAGGCACTCAAAACAATTAACAAGATTCCATGGTGTTCTTCAGTGGAAGACCTGAATTTCAGAAAACTAAAATTTCTATTTTCTTCACAGAGCTTAAGTAAATAAAAAATGCCAAATGTAGAGGTTCTTTCTTCAAGTATACAGAAAGTAAGCAGTGGGCATCATAAGAATGTGAGGTTTGTAACTGACTTGAGCACGATATTTGCAGACCAAAGGGCTTATATGTCCACGTTGAGACAAGAATTAAAATACAAAATGAAACTTGTTAAAAATACATAGTTTTTTTTAAAAAAAATCAAAATTGATTAATGATTAAAAGCCAGGGAAAATAAATGCATCCTGGCTATTTTTCAAAAAGCAAAGAATGAAGATTAAACAAAACCCTGGAGGTTTGTATATCCTGGCCTGGAGGTGATGTAGAAGAAAACCCTGTGACAGGCTTAGTGTGGCACCTTTTATGTATGGTTCTGTTCTAATGTAATAAAGGTAGGCCTTGAATTACAATTCTTTGTTTAGTGACTATTTGAAGTTACAAGTAACTTATGGCCAGTTTTCACATTCAAAACCATCGCAGCATCCCCATGGACATGTGATCACAATTCTGGTGCTCTGCAACTGGCTTGTATTTATGACTGTTGCATTGTCCCAGGATTCTGTGATCACCATTTGTGACTTTCCTAGCTGATTTCTGATGAGCAAAGTCAATGGAGGAAGCCAGATTTACTTAACAACTGTATGGGACAAAAAAGGTCATAAAATGGGGTGCAATTCACCTAAATGTCCTGGTGAGCAACAGAAAATTTGGGCTCAACTGTGATTGTATGTTGAGAACTACTTGTACTCCTTGCTCCTGCCTGAGCAGGGGGTTGAACTAGATGACCTCCAAGGTTAAGGTGACCAACTTTTTTACAATGAGAAGAAGGACACAAATAAATTGAAGAAAAAAGTGAGTCTAATGCGTGCATGTGTGCCATCTCATGTTTCAGTAAGAAGTAAACAAAGCCACTTGCGTGCAGTACACTCTTGTGCGCGGCACACTCTCAAAACAATTTTCCTGTGTGGAGTGTATGTGTCTCATAATCGCATCTCACCGTATTGTACCGAGCCTTGACGAATTGTCATGTCAAATACAAATACATTACATCACACGCAACGGATCGGATTGGCATCGATTGATTACGGAGATTTACAGATTAATCTTTAAATATCAAAAAGGAGGACATGTAGGAGGACATCTTTCGAGAGAGGACAGAACTTACAAAAGGACGACTGTCCTCCCTAAAGGAGGACAGTTGGTCACCTTATCCAAGGTCCCTTCCAACTTTACTACTACTACTACTACTATTACTACTATATATGGATATAAAATACACACATACACTTCCATATTTTATGCTACCAGACATCTTATAGTTATTTCCATCCTTTAGCCTAGTTTTTTCAAACTTTGTTCCACAAAACCTGAAGTCCCTTGAGAACTGAAGAGGAAAAGAAAATCACTGAAACACAGCCAATTGTCTGCACTAGAGCTTTGCCTCTTGATCAGGGTTTCCAGGAAACATGTTATGCAGCCTGAAAAGCTGGAAACTTTCTCTTTTGGCCAACAATCAATTGCCATATAATTGTCTATGATACTAAGTACATGGTTGTACTTAGAACAGCTTGACTGAATACAACTCAAGAAATACATTGCACTGTTGGAAATATATTCACCTTTAGAGTTAACTAAACAAAATAGCTCTAAACAACAACAGTTACTATATATAGTACCTATTTGTAATACAAACATGCAAACAAAATATACAACAATAGCATCTGTGTGACTAAGTATTTGTACTTAGTCTATAGGCAGCAAGCCAACAGTGTTCAACAGGATTAAAATACTTGTGCTCATTCATAAGGATGCTCAACCAAGAGAAGGAACTTGAGAATTAGCATAGCTCTAAGTGTGCAATTACATTTTACATGCTATTAGGATACCTAACTGGGTGGATAAATCTTGTCAAATGTGCCAAAGTATGATTTATTTTATAGAATCCCGCTTTGGCTCTTATAAATAAGAAGAGCAAGATGTTTGCAGACAGAACTATTATATTAGCCAAAAGATGTATAAGATTAGCTGTAAAGACATCTGAATCCTATCAGTCTGTGGCCTTATCTTAGCAATATTAAACCACAAGAATATTAAGAAGTATTGATGCTTAATTCAATATCATATTGCCAGAGTTGGAGTCCATTAGTGCATTCAAAAGAGCAGTAGTATACAGAAAATCACATCAGGAAAGGAACATGTGTTGACAGGCAGACTAGCTGGTATCAAGGGTTAAGTACCTTTGTGAATCAGCTGGGGTCATTTTGTAGGTCCTACTAGCAAAAGTTTCATTTTAAATAAATACCCTAGTTTTTGTATATAGAACGTTTTCAAGGTATTTTTTTGAATATACCATGCTGTGTTTACATGATAAACACAGTATATTAGATTTGCAGATACAAAAGAAAATTTTATTTTTCTAACTAAGCAGAAATCCCAAGCATAAAATGCATAAGATAAAGATATTAAAAAGCATAATTGGGATGTATTACTGAAGCATACAGTATTAGTCATCTAAGCAATCGGTGAGGAGAACAGTGGAGGAATTCCTTTTATCATGTAACTGATATTCTAAAAATAACTTTGAAAGCTTTTTACTTTTCAGGATTAAATGTACCGTAAATGCCGGCGTAGAAGGCGACCCGGCGTATAAGACGATTCCCGTCTTTATAGCCGGGCTGCATTCCTAGAACGTCGTCTTATACACCGGAAACTACCAGTAGACGTATAAGATGACTCAGCGTATAAGACGACCCCCGTCTTTGGCGCCGATTTCAGCGCTCGCAGAAGTCGCCTTATACGCCGGCATTTACGGTATGAGAAAAGTAACTTTAACTTAAACCAATACCGTTTGGTTTGGTTTAAGTAACCAGAGTAATAATAATATATTTACCTAAAAGGAGGAAAATACTAAATTAAAGATGATCCCTTCAAAAAAAAAAGTAGTGTGGGTGACAGCACCCTACCCCCAAAGAAAGAAATATTTTGGGGGATATTAAAAAGGCAGAATATTATATTTTCCCAAAGGAATAAAGGAGAAGATGTTAAAAAGGCAGAAACTTCTCCATTCCCCCCACCCCAACCAGAAACCCAGGCAGAGTCCAGTTCTGTAGAAATGCAAATTTGGTAATCCTTTCAGGAAGCTTGGAGCTGATGGGATTAGAAAGACAAAGATCCCTAGAACCAAAAACCCCTCACCCAAAAAAATCCAACACAGGGCATTGCTATCAACCACAATCCCAGGGAAGCAAGAAATGACCTTTAGTATATAATAGGATTAACCCACCACTATTAAAATATCAGGAGGGCACTCTGAACCTCAGGTCAAAGTTCATGCCACAGGAACAACTCCAAACACAAAAGCCCAAGGAGGTATAAAAACCTACCACTCCCTACTCCATGTGGTCAGCTTTCCCAGAGTCACATTTTTGTTTGGCTCTGCTCTTCAATAAGCTACAACCTTCTTTCTAAAGCAAGAAAGTATCAGCATTCTATGTGCCTTGATGATGATCAGGCTGGTGACATGATCACAGAAATGTCTTCAGACAACGCTGGTTTCCTTGGCTAAAATATGGAGATGAGCACTGTCCCCTAGAATCAGATATGACTGGACAAGGGAAACTTTTACTTTTACCTTTTTACACACACACACACACACAGAGAGAGAGAGAGAGAGAGAGAGAGAGAGAGAGAGAGAGAGAGAGAGAGAGAGAGAGAGAGAGAGAGAGAGAGAGAGAGAGAGCTGGGAATTCCTGAGAGTTCTCTTTTTAACAAATGTTTGCATGTACATATACTTATCTGCCAGGAACCATATACTGCCTTAAGAGCAAGACAATGTATTTTTATCTCTTGGTCTTTTGGTCAATTGATTTATCTATATTTGCACTGGTTCATCTTGGATGCCAGTTGTACCCTTTCCTTAATTGGTAAACTCTTCAGACAATTACATATTCCTTGGTCATATCATGACTGAATTATTACAACGCACTTTCCATGGAAATCTCCCTGAGGACCATTTGGAAACTGCAGCTGAAGCACAATCCCGTGGCACAGAGTTGTTTCTCATGGCACCATTCCTACATGACATGTATTGGTTGCCATTTGGCTTCTGGGTGCAATTCAAGGCCTGGATCATTACTTATAAAGCTTTTTGTGGCATAGAGGCTGGATATATGAAGGACTGCTAATCTCTAATTGTTTCTCTCTGCCCACTATCTTCTGGCAGAATAAATGCTTTTCATATCCTTTTTATTAAATATTACCATCATACAGGACTGGGAAAATATGCTTTCTTTGCTGGCCATCTCTCCCCCAAAACAGCATGTCCCCAAAAACAACAATAGCAATAGCACTTAGACTTATATACCATTTCACAGTGCTTTACAGCCCTCTCTAAGTGGTTTAGAGTCAGCATATTGGCCCCAACAATCTGGGTCCTCATTTTACAGACCTTGGAAGGATGGAAAGCAGAATCAATCTTGAGCTGGTCAGGATTGAACTCCTGGCAATCAGCAGAATTAGCCCAAATTACTGCATTCTAACTACTGCACACCACAGCTCTCATGGATA